ACATTCAAACACAATCAATAACTGCGCGGTCCAGCCACACACCTTTCCCCCAAACACAGATTCTCACTCCTAAATTTCATCAGACATGAACTTTCAGTGCCAATTGCGGCGATCAAAGAGAAGTGACCTTTACTGAACAGATTATTATAAGACATATTTCACTACAGACATGTTAAAACTTTTTTTAACATGTCTGTACAGAAATCTCAACATTTTAGGAGATGGTTAACTGAAAACTTATTGTATTGTGTATTTAACTAAGGAGTTGTGCAGGTGAAAGCCATCTTAAGGTTACATCATTTTCAGAGTTTGATAAATAACTAAAAATCATCACTCTTCATCCCACAGTAAACACATCAGGAGGAGCAGGAAGAGAAAAGCTACTTAATTACAAAAAAATGAGTTGGAAAGTGTGATTAGGTGACGGGTGGCTGCTGGCACGCTAGAATGACTTAAGACCCTGTCAGTGAATGCAGGGAGGTCTGGATAATCTTTCCCTCCACAAAGGTGCGTGGGGCTAATCCAGGGCGCTGTGCTGAGCTGTGGATCAAGTCCTACAGGGAGTGTGGGAAGGCCAGCAGGACCGTCACTGCTTTGGCCCTCTTGGTGGTCAGAGCTTATTTATACTCACTGGTACACTGCCGGCCCATTCTTACACACACATACACACACACACACACACACCTTTGCATTATTACAGTGTCAGCCACAGTGAGCGTTATGAGGGAGGTTAAGTTTATAAATGTGACTCAATCTCAGTATAATTCGTTGAAAATCAAAATCCACTATAGAGGTTATACTTGATCGAGTCATCACTAAATTTTAACAGAACCAACTCGGACTCTACTGTGCTCAGCGATTTCAAAACGTTACCAAATGTAAATGAGCACAACAGAAGTTTCTCTGTGCATATCAGAAATTAGATGAAAGACTAAAGAAAAATCCCTTGTCAACATGCAAAATACTTAATGACTCTTTAAAAAGGCATTTATTACATTTTTCCTATGCCACAACAGAAAGTCACAAGTTTGGCATGTCAGCACTGACAAAAGTAAATTTACAAACCTTTCAAAACAAGTTTCAGGTGGCATCTCTATTTCTTTTAGGGGTATGTGCATTTTGTAAAACATTTTTGAAGTTTACACCACTTTTAAATGTGAAATGACACTTATCCCATTTCTTTATTTGTTTTGAGTGCTATTTATTTTGATTGTTAAATTCAATTCTGAAAAATTACAAAGATTAAACTGAATTCTTGTGCTCAAAATATGAAAAACACATTCAAAGTGAGGCATTAAACACTCAGTCTGTCCAATTAAATACTGAAAAGAGTGAGTGAACTGGGTAAATGTAAGGAAGGAAAGGTATTATAACTGTATGAGGCAAAGACACACGTTTATTTTCAACACCATTTTAAAAAACAACTCAGTCAAAAAAAGATGAAGACCCCTATTTCAATTACAAAACTAATGAGCCTGTATTTTTAACCAGAAATATCTGATACAAATTAAACAGAATTAAGAATTATGTAATATATTTTTAATTTTAAGTGAGGTTTAAAATGATAAACAACCATTAAAACAGTCCAGGAAAGCACATAATTATTTCACTATTTTAAGGCCTGTAAAGTAACTGGAAGATTTAAGAATACTCTGATGGGATGCTAAAGTGAAAAGACCACTGTACCAAAATCTATGTGAAAAAATAACAGATTGCCATTCAGAGTCTGAAGACTTATACATATCACCTATAAAAATAAAAGGTCACCCCTTAATGTTATGCCTCCCAGTAATACAACCTGCACTCTGGAGATTTTTCTGGAGACAATGTCATATACCCAAACTTCATATCACACACATAAGAGACAAGAGTCACAAGTCATGTTTCGTACAAATTTATTCAGCATTTAAGAATAGAGGATGGTCTTAAAATATGTAGAAACGTCAGTTTAAATAAACATTTTCGTTCAGGATAATGAGTAAACATGACAATGTCAAAACCATCACAGAAAATAACATTTTACAAAAACAAATTTGAACATTTTTCACGTGACAAAACATCGGGTTCACAAGCTAAAAAGAAAAAAAAAAGCATCTTACTATAAATAAAACTTGCGTTTGCGACCCGCACAGTCTTAACATTTCATTTTAACCTAGGTCATGAGGGGGAGGAAAAGAAAGACTACAAAAATTTGGACACAGTCGAGACAACTGACATTCTACAAAATGAGTGTAAACATTTATGAACCAACTTTCCATCCAGCTTTTCAGAAACACACCAGCCTCTCGTAATGAGGCCACATGCCTTTTCATAGAGAGAAAATATGGCATTAATTAAAATATAGAAGTCCAACTCTTCTACATAAGTTGATTGCTTATACTTGTGATAAAAAGCCTCTTTGCAATGCAATTTACTCTGATGGGCTCAACGTTCAGTTTCGGTCCATTTAAAGATTCATTTAAAATGGACTCAAAACAACTTTGAGATAAAAACTGTTTTTGAACAAAACTGTTGAACGTTGTTTCGTTAGCAACCAAAAAGTTCAAGTATCCGAAGTACTTTTTTTTTTTTAAAGTCTGAAGTCTTTTCTTTCTGTTGCTTTCAGATGTGGGTGAGAGGTAGCGTCCCATTGACGCCAGTCCCTGCGGTCTGATAGTGCGGATGGACGCTGTGTAACCGGCTGCTCTGCAGGGAGGAATGCTCTGCGCTGTCCCCGCCGGGAGGCAGGTACATGCTTATCATATCCCTCAGGTCCCCCAAACACGCCCGCTGAGAGTGGGACGCGATGGCCGGCGGCGGCGAGCTCGGCTCGGTCTTGCACACGGACGCCATGGAGCTCAGTCCCATGGCGCTGCTGGTCTGCTGCGTGTACGCAGGAGACATGCTGTACGTGGAAGCCGCGTTCATGTAGGTCTGCGCCGAGGACATCATCGGGTACTGGAGACCTGCCATCTCATATCGGTGCATCTGCTGAATCTGGGGGCTGTTCATGCTATGATGCTGAGGGTAGGCCAACTGGTCCTGCATGAGGGAGTACGCACTGTTCGTCCACCCGTTCATGTGCGCATAACCGTCCATCCGCTGCCCCACCGACACAGAGTTGTTGACGGCATTGGCTCCTGGCGCCAACAGTCCCCCGGGCAAAGAATACTTGTCTTTCTTGAGCAAGGTCTTGGTCTTCCTGCGGGGACGGTATTTATAATCCGGATGCTCCTTCATGTGCATAGCGCGTAGACGCTTGGCCTCGTCGATGAATGGCCTCTTTTCAGCATCGGTCAGAAGTTTCCAGTCAGCACCAAGCCGCTTACTGATTTCAGAGTTGTGCATTTTGGGATTTTCTTGTGCCATCTTCCTCCGCTGCCCGCGGGACCAGACCATGAAGGCGTTCATCGGCCGCTTCACCCGCTCCTGGTCGCTGACACTGTTGTTCTTTGCGCCCGGCGCCGAGCCCGAGTTGGACTGCGGGAGCGGGGTCTTGATCTCGGTTTCCATCATGTTATACATTCAGGCGGCTTTTAGTGTTCACCCACAGGCACGGAAAAAAGTTCAAAAAACTGCGCCCGAAGTTTAAGAGGTAGAGATACTGACCAGTCTCATAAGAAGACGGGGGAAAAAGTTGTGCCCAAAGAGGCAAACGTGTCTGCAGGTGCTTCTGGTTTCGCTCCGCTTAAAACTGCTCTGTCCCCCACGGCTCTGAAACAGAAGTCTGTAAACTTGCTCGCCAAGCTCATCGGTTAATAGGCCTAGTGGCCGGACCATGTGATGTAGATTGACAGAATGACAATGAGGAGCAGGCGACCAATCAGCGCTCAGCTCCCATATCCACCGCGTAACCAACCGGTGCACACAGCGCTGTGTTTTGGTTAGGGGAGGAGGGAGTGGTAAAGTTTTAAAACAGCGCAGCTCAACATCAAGAGTGCAAAATGTTAGATTTACAACCTTTATAATCTGAGAATGAAGGTGAGTGGTTAACGGAAAATGCAGCAGATTATTTGTCTTGTTGAAATCATTTTTGACAACAAATGACATCCAAAAATAGGTTATTTGGTAAACTTTCTTCCACATTTGGGACTCAGTTGAATAAAACTGAAAGAGACAAACAGGCAAAAAAAGTTAGTATGAAAGAGAGTATAGGGTGTTTATGTAGTGTATTTGCTGCATGGAATCAAACGTTTCAAGGGATCAGTGTCAATAAATTAATTACAGAGGGGAATCCCAACAGGCCATACCGACCTAAAATGATCGCGAATAGGCTACTTAAAGTAAAAAGTAAAGGGAATACTGGAATAAAACGTGCCCTTGGCAGAGGAAAATAATTTCACATCTACCTGCTGCCAAACATGTCATGTTGCTTTAATTACAATTTCACAAAATATATTTTGCCAACAAAAAAGTTTGGTTTTTTTTAAACAGATGGCCTTAAATATTTTCATGAGCACTTTTTGGGCCAAGTTTTTTCCTCAGGAGTTTTGCAGTCTCCTGAGCTGGGTGAGAATAACTGGACGGTCAAACCTGCGGAGGGGTTCAAATAATTCACTTAACTTCCAATGTTATTTCAGTACTGTGGAAGAATATTCTCCAAATTTAAATGTTGAAATGAAACAGTAAAGCTGAATATTCCACCAGTATAATTTAATAATATTCGGATTAGAGTTTTAAAAAAGCAAATCAATCATCATTATCTCATAAAATTACCTCCATATGTTTTTACCTACAGTAGGACAAGAGTACTGGGTTTCAATTTAATGGCACGTTAATGTGGATGTTTCCGCCGCGTTAAAGGCCCCACAATGCAAAACTTTAATACATCAACGACCTCTTGTGGAGGGGACGGGCTATCTCTGTAATCCCAGCGGAAAAAGTTTAGTAGGGAGACTCTGCTGGCAAACAGGCTCGCTCGGTCATGTGAGTGACTGCTCTCCCTAAAAATAGTCAGCTACATGTTTGCCGACTTCTTTTCTCTCTGCGGTGTTAATGGTTATTAAAATGATTACCGTGGAGTGGCCTTCATTTGCACGTGTCTCCTTACAAACGACCTGAAACGCCGCCTCGCCGTTGAAACCAATTGCTCCAACAGGGCAAACCTCACACCTGCTAATGATCACGAGCGGATCGCCCATCGAAAAACGACTATTAACACCTCAGTATTTAGATGAGCTCTGCAGGGGTCGTTCTGGTATGTGCATCAGAGGGCGTTTCACCTCCCAGAGTCTTTAAAATCGACTGTTGGCCTCCTGCATTATATTTTAAATTCGGGGCAGGTCGTCCAACCGTGGGACATGAGCATACAGACTTATAGGCTATTTTTATGTTGCTTATCGATTATTACCGAGATGTAAACGCAAGCGTCTGTTTGGAAAATAGGTTATTTAGTGACAACAATGAAACATCAGCGTCCCCTATGTTTTAAGGGTTTAATGAGCGCTTCTATTAACCACCGATATCAATCACAAGACTGGAAGTTTCCGTTTTCAGTAAGTAAAATGTCAAGATATCAAAATAGAGTAAGGATATAAAATGTATTTTGCAGCCATTACAGACATGGGTATACTAAAACATGCATAAATAACATAGCCTAACAGTATTATTTATGACTTAAGCACAAATATAAGGCACAAATAGCTGAAAGAAAAGTGATCTGTTGAGTGGAGTCAAAGCCTATAGTCCCCCAACCATATTGTAGTAAATCGGCTGAAAAGAAGACATCACTTCATGAATTTAATTTTCGCGTTCAATGGGGCGTTACAAACAGAGCAGGAGCAATAAAACTAACGTCCAATTAGCAGTCATCTATTCCCGGGGACCAGTTATTTGTTTATCTAGGCAGATCTCAATACTGATCCGCTTGTAATCTTCTTATGGAAATTGACCGGTAGCACAGAGAGAGAGAGAGAGAGAGGGAGAAACACACGAGGAGTGTAACCCGGAGTTTGGTAATGAGGGCCTCTGTGCAGCTAATTTCCTAATTAAGGAACGGAGGACCACCAGCACAGTCTGCTCTGATTCAGACTCAACAAGCCTGACGGCCCAAAGGGACTCTCAGGGCGCGCGGCTGCAGGATACCACTGTTGAATGTTGGGAAAAAATGAGGATGTCCTGATGGGAGGATATAACCTGCAGGCGACCAGCTCAATCTTAGAGAATTTAATGTTAAAAATGTAGCTTGAAAGCAAACTTTCCTCTCACACCGTGGACTACTCAGGAGAAAACAATTGTGTTTACTATTTTTTTCGTTGTCGTTAATTATTAAAATCCGGCCCTTTGTTCAAATTGGACATTTATGTTGACAGCACTAAATCTGGTGAATAAATTTTACAGGAATCACCGAAACGAACGGTTTTTGTTCAAGAAAACGTCTAATTCTTGGCCTTTGGGCCTAGAAAATAAAACAACTCGTAATGTTAGATATATTTGCAAAGAGCTTTATGAGAATTAATATATATTCAGGTCGATTATTTAACACACAAGTCCATTAATCCCTCCTTTGAAACCAGTTCAGCAGACTGCATTTCCGCATCCTTTGCCCGGCTGTCGAGAGCTTTATGGTCAGACCATTTCAATTCATGACGGACAAAATGCGTTCAACTTAAATATTATACAACACGCAGCCCCTGCATGTCTGCCATTCAGCTGCAAATAAGCAGCTGATAATAGCTTGTAATTTATTGCTTTTTTATTGCCCTTGTCTCTTTATAGCCTGCGTTTACAGTTTTTGTTTTTATCATATTTTTGACAATTCCCAAATAGGACAGATGTTTTTCGAAAGTCGCCTCTTTAAAACATTATTTTACGTGTCCATTTCAAACCCCACGACCTCCACAATCAATAACTTTTTTTGTTTCAGCTCAGTGACTGCGGACAAGGCCTTTGAGAAACAGTAATTAACAAATAATGGGTTTTCAATTACAGCCACAATGGAGACTGTCTCATTAAGATTTGCATGATTTTTGGACGAGGAATGCAAATGAAGATGCAATTTACGCACGGTCTGCTGTTCCTATTGTGCCGCCGTGAATAGTTGCGTCCTCCCAGTTCAACACAGGTAAAATAATATTCACGGGTCATTTAAAGGAATAAAAGTGCTGCTATTATCACCTCTTTATTTCACAAAACAGGGCTAGTATTCCTGGTGGTAATTTGACTTATTGACCCATAAGAGTTGTCATTGACAAAAAAAAGATCCTAATAAAAAAATGGAGAAATTTTTACATCGTCGGATCTTTTTTTTGTTTTGTTTTTTTAAACCACTGAACCTGTTTTATATCACCTCTTTGATTTTTTGATTTTTTTTTTTTTTTACAAAGACTCTTTAATAATGGCTCATTAATTTGTGTCAGAAAATTCATAATTGCTAAAAATAAATCCAAAGGCTTCTGCAAAATGCTTTTTCATTCCTGGATGCAGTTTTAGAAAATTCAGACATCAATATTACAAGGTAGTCTTGCAACAGGTAACAGAAGACATACTTTAAATTATACTCACTAATAGCATCTTTCAGGCTATACATGGCAGATCTGTTAGGGACAGGAGTTTCACATAATCTAACCTAAGTTTTTGGTTTACTTTGAAACTTCATTAAACTAATAGATGTTTCTACTGGGATACATAATATGTGAATACTTTTGCACTCTTTTGCAGCAAATATATATTATACAACTAGACCTGAAGATATTTAATTATATTATTTACTCTAACTAAGATTCCTTTAAATTATGTCAAAAAATTTAATAATATTTTACAAAAGATATGTCCAATTTGGTCCAGATAAAAGCTGGCCAAAACCTTAAATTTAATATTCAGGTTAGTTGAAGATGATGTTTAGACTCTTTGACGGCTTTAAGAACGTGTTCACGACAAAGAGGAGACAGGAGAAGAAAGAGTTAAGTCTACTGTACGTGCATCAGTACAGAGAATAAATAGAGGCCAGGCACTGATATTCAAGAGAAATGTGATCTTCTCTGTGTCGCCCACTTTGCCTCAGGTGTTCCATCACAGAACGGCTGTATATGGAGTTTTGTAGTCATCATAAGAGAGGATGGGAAAGGACGAAGCAGGAAGATCAGTAAACTTACCACACGCTGGGATGCAACCCCCGACGATCATCTCTGTGGGCCCATCTGAGGCAGTGGAAGCGCCTACGTTCAGTCATTAGGTGAAGGGACTGTCACTCAAACTTTCAACAAGAACCAAAAACACACACACAAAAGGACAGATGCATCGATTTTCAGGAGAACTTTAGTGGGGTTTTTTTGTGTTGCAAGTTAGTCAGGAGGATTCAAGGCTGATGGAGGACACTGCATTCTTGCCTCCGCTATAGAGTAATTTTTGTGTGTGTGTTACGGTGGTGGGGGAGAAGCAGAGAAGTGATATGTCTGCACTCAACGGCCACCTTGCTCAGCGCTGTGGAATTTAACCATCTTACTTATTGACCTCGGCTAGTAAAACAACATGCAAAAAGCTGTTTGCCTCCTGTAGCTGTCTGTGAAGAATGCTTCAAACTTTAGCCTCTTTTTTCCCTGGCTGGCCAAGCATGTCCTTCCTCATTATGTTCTTGTGTGAGCAAGGCCAAGGCGGCTGACACAGACCCAGTGTAATCTCTTTAACCCGCCACTGTCATGAGCAGACAAGGCGTGACCACCCAACACTCTGCTCCATCTCACTTAGCCAGGGGAATAGTTTTTCACTTCATCACCTCACCCTCTTTGGCTTGTGGCTGCTTATCATCTAGGGATGCACATTTCAAACACATTTGATCAAGTATGCTCAACACATAAGTGCATGCAAAATCGTTCAGTTGGGCACACACACATCCACACCCAAGGGTTAATCATTGTTACAAGACTACTCAATATAATCATGTGCAGCAGTGTGCAGTTAAAAATTCATATACTCACTGACCCTTGGAGTTCCCGTAATTGACACAAGCGTTTTTGCTGTGGTTATTGACTAATGAAGCTAAAAGCAAATTAAATTATATCACAGGAGAGGACATTGGTGGAAGCATTATTAAATGAATATACAATGATTATTAGCTCCTCAAAGTCATTTCTTAGACAAAGACTCTTTACGTTTACTTAACAGATTAGGAGAAACATTCATATTAAAACATTTGGTATATGACGCGTTAAATGAAAAATAAAATACTAAATTACTGTGAATTATAAGCTCCCATCCACTGAAAGCTAATTTCAATTCAGTTTAAATTAAGCAGAAAATTTCGATAAATATGGTTTTGCTTCTGAGCCACTGGGCGAGGCTGGATTAAGCCATCTAGTGTGCAACATGATCACTTCTGTGTTTGCTCAGGAACAAAGTCTGCTGCCTAAACTTCCGCAACTGAAGCTCAGCACCCACTTGAGGCTCTAATCTGTGCAATCTTCATTTATCGTATACACACATCATATTACATCCCATTTGCTGGTTTCAAGGGTTTGCTGTGCAAGTAGTAGCAGTAGTTTTTTTCTGAAAATGATGCACTCTGAAAAATACCAGATGCGGTATGTGTGCAACAAAAGAGAACACAGTTTAAATTAGGCCTCCAGATGCTTTTTTTGCAGCAGCATTAAAGTTATGATATTCTGTCAGCAAGCAGATGCCTGCTGTTTGGTCTATGAATGGCATTATCAAGCACCTCTATATGATGATCATTTTAAATACTGTTATTGCCTAACTGGCTAATTACAGCACTCATTATTTTCCATGTATCTTTTGAATCATTGCCATGTTCAGTTTTTCCAAAAACAATGGAAACTTTCTCCGTTTTTTGTTTGGAAGAAAGTGCTGAATCGTCACGTTTTGCTTTGCGCCATGCCCAAGCAAGCAGCCCTCTTTTGTTTTAGCCATAATTGAGATCCCACTAATCTAGCCCCTTTTAAAAAATGAAACAGTCTCTTTGTCAAACCTTCATTAGTTTCAGATAATATTGTGAGAATGCACAATTAATTTGCAGTGTAACTTTAATTAATTAAATACACCAAATTTTGTAATATGATTAATGCCACCAAGTTGTTATCTGTATTCTCCTCCAAAATGAATATGTAACAGCGATAGAGCTGAGCATTAATTGGGGCTTTAAAGAACCCAAAACTAGGTTAGGTAATTACAAGAGGTAATTTATTAAGCCTTAAATAAAGAAACAAACAAGCATAAATTGATATATAAATCATGAGTACCATTGTGTGGAATCTAGCTGTGATTTGGGAGAAAATGACAAATCTTTGTTGCGTGCAAAGCACTTGATAAAGCAGATAGTGGTCATAAATTTAGTCCCAGTCAAGGTCTCATTAAAAGAGGCATAATTTAATTAAGAGTTAGCCATCGCCCTCTAAATATATTAATTACCTTGAGCATGACGAGATGAGTGCAGTGATTATTGGGTGTTTCATTAGAGTAAGTCTTCTGGGAGAAGAGCAAACTAAGGTGGGAACTGTGACTGTGTTGACAAGATAATGGATGGGCTGGTTTGAGATGAATTTGGTCACCTTGCCTTGGGTTGAGCTCAGAGAGGTGAGACAGAGGACAACACAGGTCCTCGAGAAGGTAGGACGTCTCCACTCGGTTTACTGGGATTGTAACATTTAGAGCTTTCAGGTGAGGTTCACCAAGTCCGTATCCCACTTAAGTAAATTCTTTTACTGCATGAACCAATTATCATATGAGGAATGTGAGACAAAATTATAATGAGGGCATGTTCATTGTAGAGCCAGTTCAGTATAAAGAATCAACATTAAAACATTTGGTGTTCAATGTGACAAATAAATCCAATTTCCAAACCAAATATTTTGAAATTACATATTGGAACTGATTAAGTGGCAATGTGAGAAACACATTTTCCTTTTGATTGAGCTAGAAAGAAATCTATATCCCTCTAAGGCTGTTATTGTTATATTAAATTTTAGTGTCTTATCTCATGTTGTTCTAACCTTTGAATGTGGTGTACAAAATAAAATAATAAAGCGTAAAACTAAGTCAATTCTTAATGTAATTTCTAAACTAAGAGCTACTGCATCTGTTGTCAGCAGCTCAATTGATCGTGGTGCACTAATGACACTTTTCCATTTCGCTTATGTCAACTATCACTCTTTACTAACACATCTAATAAATAAGTGTGCCACCTATTTGTACACGCACACATACAGACCATAGGAGACGACGGCTCATTGCCTCATCGACTGATATGTCAATGAAACTTACAAGATGTTGCCGCTGCATTGGAATGATTTCCAGCCTCGCTCCTTTCCTGGCTGACAGCAGGACAAAGAGCCTAAGCTACTATTATCTGGAAGCAAGCTCTCATTTTTGCTTTCATCTTTCTCTTCACTTACACAAACATAGATGTATGTGCTTGTGCAAACACACAGAGCTCAGCATAAAGTCACCAATGCATCCAGTGTGCATCTCGGACAGGACAAACCCTTAGTATTTTCAGGAGTTTGAACATTGTTACAGTGTTGGCAAATAAAATAGGTGAAGCATGAGTTCAGATTTTTTGAGTCTGTGTCAGTATTTTTTTGCAACAGGATACAAGAGGTGTGACTTTTACATTTTTCATAAGTTAAGCTAATTCTACTGTGTCTAGCCCAACAGGTGACATGACATGTCTTGTTACTTCCACAGGTTAAATCAGACTATGTCTTAACAAATATATGCCTGAACAGAGGCGGTAAACACAACTCACAGAACACAAAGCTCCCTGCACCATCTCCCTGAATGCCCCCTCCCTCTTCTCTCCTCGCTTTACCACTAACCTCCTCCCACTCTGGCCAGAAAATCGAGGACACTCACCAAGCTCTGACTGGTCCCAAGGCTGCTGCTGCTTCCCAATCCTTCTGTTAGACACACCTTCATCAGCTGGCCCAGAAGCAGCAGGACCATGGACTGGAAGATAGCAGTGACATCCACAGCCCAGAGCCTCAGCCCAGACAACCACAGCCATTCAGAGGGGGTTTCCAGCACCACGGCAGCTCCCACTGCAGCCGAGAAATATATCAAGAGCGAGAGTGCCGGGCAGTCACTGGTGTGGTAGTGCACACTGCAGCTGAGCTCTCCCGGCTCTGGGACCCATCTCATTCAGCCAAGATTGCTTCATACAAAAGTTGACAATGCACCAGTGAAAGCCATTGTTGATATTCAACATTTTTTAAATAGCTGAGCAGAATAGACAACATGGCAGGCTGCAAAACTTGGCAAGGGAAACTGACCTGGAGCTTCCCATTTGAAAGGGTTGCCACGCTGGGTGAGAGGAGAGAGGGCTTTTGTGTTTAAAAAAAAAAAAAAAAGGAGGGAGAGCTGGTGTGAAAGAGCTCAAAAAAACAAAACATCTCCCATCCCGGGAGAGCAGAGTACAATGCTTTCTGTGCAGCAGAAAGAGAACAATCACCTTGCATGGTCACAAGCATATACGCATTACCAAGAAAGAGCACAACAATGAAATCAATGCAATCAGATCCACTTTAAGAAGGATATTATATTTCTGACTCTTGAACCGAACAAGGAAGCTCCAGCCCCACATAACACTCTGGTAGAGTTGTCAAAATATAAAGCCGAGAACACGTGTGTCAAACCCAACATTTAGGTCCAACAGTTAAATATTACAACTACCAAAATTTTGTATTTAAACTATGTACTGGCTTGGCTAACGTCCAAAGGAATGTCTTCCAGAGAGCCATCTATTTCTCTAATGTTGCACAGATGAGGATGATACTGCCTGACGCTGTTAATGGTGTTCTGTTTCCCTAATTGTCAAGCTGACAAGCGTGCAGATTGATATGGATATTTAAGAAGCCTTTAAGGTTCCATATGTCAGAGCATCACAGTGCCGCTCGTTCCTCAGAAACTATCAAAACATCTATTGTAGTATGTGTGTGTGTTTGTTTATGTGTGTAAGTGTGCGTGCGTGTGTGTGTGTGTGTGCACATATGGCTGGTAGTCCTGAAGCAGGTCCCGGTGTTGTGTTTTGTGCATACTCATCTCCCCCAGTGTGAGGTAGTAAAATACTCATTCATCAATTATTTAAAAAAATTGTTGGTTAGTTTTATGTCAACTGACTAATTGATTAACCCTATTG